GGTCCGGGCTGGGGATTCGAACCCGCCACCTTAGGTGTACGTGGCTGGCGCCTTAGCTGGTTGAGCTATAGGCGCCGAGCCTCCTTGCTGCTTCTTATTTTTGTGTTCTCCCTTTATAGTTTCACTTCTCATTATCATTTTTCTTAGAGTCGGTAAGAAAAAGAAGAAATCAAGTCCAAATCTATTAAAAAGCGAACATACTGTATAAAATGCTTTTGGTGCCACAAATCTGAAATCAAGCTTTTAGCACTCTCCTTACTCCCTGCTACTATGATGAAGATTTGGCTACAGAGACAATCTCATCTAAATTCAACAGAAAACTTGAAGATTCCCCCCAAACATAAAAATTACCAAACTATTGAAGCAATGATCAAGAAAAAGCAGTAGAACTGTCTGTTCATGGAGTGAGAATTCACCATCAGTTTCAGCTAATGCTGCTTTCAAGATGTGTTTAAAAAAGAATGGGAAGTGGTCTGGCTTCTTCTTGAAAGTCTGAAAAGAAAAATAAAAAATGATTGTGAACTGGTTTGCTCACTGATTTTTTTCTCCCTTAAAGAAGCACTGTTATGAGCCACAGGCACCACCCTTAGGAGTCTTTTTTTTTTTTTTTTGACTGTCTTGCTCTGTTGCCCTGGGTAGAGTTCTGTGTCATCATCATGGCTCACAGCAACCTCAAACTCTTGGGCTCAAGAGATCTTCTTGCTTCAGCCTCCCAGGAGTGCACCACCAGCCCTGGATAGTTTTTCTATTTTTAATGGAAACCGGAGACTCACTCTTGCTCAGGCTGGTTTCAAACTGCTGAGGTCAAGCAATCTGCAATCTCCCTGTGTCCAGCCTCTAATTAGCAGATGCAATCAATCATTTTTTTTAAATCTGTGTATACCCTCAAAATCTGTGTTGTCATTTCTCTATTTCTAGCCCTAATTACCAAAGTGGTCTTTAAGACATGCAAGCTGGCTTGGTGCTTGTAGCTCAAGTGGCAAAGGCCCCAGCCACATACACCAGAGCTGGCAGGTTCGACTCCAGCCCAGGCCTGCCAAAACAACAATGACAACTACAACCAAAAAATAGCTGGGCATTGTGGTGGGCACCTGTAATCCCAGCTACTTGAGAGGCTAAGGCAAGAGAATTGCTTAAGCCCAAGAGTTGGGAGGTTGCTGTGAGCTGTGATGCCACAGCACTCTACCCAGGGCAACAGCTTGACACTCTGTCTCAAAAAAAAAAAAAGACATGCAAACTGAACAGCTTATTCTGTGGCTCAAAAAATGCTCCCTCTCCCTTTCTATTATGGCTTAAGGCAACTTGAAGAAGTATCTCAGATCTCACAAGAAGACATAAGATCTATAATTCACCTTGAGCTTATCTAACGTACCCTGAGATAGCAGTAAATAAATATTTGAGAGAAGTATCCTTAGTTTTATCTTTAAGACCCTAACACCTTTTCACCATGGGAGACTATTTTCTCCAAAGAGATGACAAGTATTCATGCCTTTTCTTCATTTAAAAAGTCTGACTAGAAGAGGAGAAACTCTTTTGATGAGGTAACCATTTTATGGTGGGCAAAGAAAACCTGGATTTTGGACTGCCACTGACAAAGCCTCTGCTGCACCAGCAAAAAGAAAACATCAGTTCATGAGAAATTTCAAGAAGGAAAAATATAGAGTATCTCACACATAAAGTCACCATACCTAGGGAAAATTAGAAATTATAACCAAGTGTATTTTTTTTTAAGAGACAGAATGTCACCCTCAATAGAATGCCCTGGTGTCACAGCTCACAGAAACTTCAAGCTCTTGGGCTCAAGTGTCTTGCCTCAGCCTCCCACATAGCTGGGACTACAGGTACCCACCACGATGCCCAGCTATTTTTTAGAGATGAGGTCTTGCTCTGGCTCAGGCTGGTCTGGAACCTGAGAGCTCAGGAAATCCACCCACCTCCACCTCTCAAGTGCTAGGATTTCAGGTGTGAGCTACTGTGCCTGGCCCAAGTGTACTTTTATTTACAAAAACATTCAATACAAAATTTTACAAAATATTATTCTATCTGTTGGCCACTTCTTTGTAAAATTTACACATATACCCTCCATCGTGAAATAAGACACTGAAAAAAAATACCTCATTTGAACATTACCTATTTGTACTTTATTTTTCCATAACTTTCTCTGCCAGCTCCTGATGTAAGTCTTTATATATATGCTATTCTCTGTTGTAAGTACAGCACAGAAAAATAATTGCACACTCATAATTTTTTAATTCATAGTAAATTATTTTGAAAACAGTATTGCAACAGAAAGAAAACTGGTATCTTTCACATATCTATTCTTTTCCTCAATTTTTAATAGATATTTACTAGATATAGTTCTACTCTAAAAGCACTATGTATTATTGGCAAAAAGTTCTGCTACTTTGTAATGACCTAAGTAGGCACAGTATGAAAGCTCTGAAATAATTTAAATCTATTACCTCCCAAGCAGGGACATTTTCTCTGAACTTCTCATTCACCATACAGCAGATCGACATTAAGTAGGCTTTGCTGGACACCTCTGGAGAATAATTCATCCAGAGATAATTTTCAAGATACTGGCTGTAAAGAGTAAAAAGTCACATAATTACCACCATAACTTATTGGAATATATCACTCACCTGGAAAGCTGTATTATTTATGAACTTCTGAAAACATTTTGAAAATCTATATTTATGGTTTGAATACCCCTTATAAATTTATCCAAAATCTAGGTCACTGCTACCTTTTCCTTTTCCCTTTTTTCTGAATTTGCTGGATACCTCTAGAGAATAATTTACAACGTCTGTCAGCAACTGTTAGTATTTACCTTTGTCAAATATTTCTCTCATGACAGTTTAGCTGGCTGTAGAGTTCAAGGTTGAAAGTGATCTCGGTCTATGTAAGATAAGGGAGTGAAATGTCTTACTCCATTCCTTCTCTAAACTATAATTGAGAAGTCTACAATCAATTTGTCCTTCTTCCTCTTTGAGTAAATCTATCTTTTCCCTCCAACAGATTTTAAGATGTTTATTCTGTCTTTGTTGCTCTGTTTAGGATTTGTTGTACCTCTGGAATCTAAAAGACTCATGTTTTTCATCAGCTTTAGAAAATTCATTTTTCTGGCTCGGGACCCATAGCATAGTGGTTATGGCACCAGCCACATATGCTGAGGCTGGCAGGTTCGAACCCAGCTCGGGCCAGCTAAACAATAATGACAACTGCAACCAAAAATTAGCCGGGCCTTGTGATGGGCACCTTTAGTTCCAGCTACTTGGGAGGCTGAGGCAAGAGAATTGCTTAAGCCCAAGAAAATTCTTTTTTCTTTTTCTTTTTTTTGAGACAAAGTCTAATTTTGTCACCCTGGGTAGAGTGCCATGGCACCACAGATCACAACAACCTCAAACCCTTGGGCTAAAGTGATCTTCTCGCCTCAGCCTCCCAAGTAGCTGGAACTATAGGCGCCAGCCACCCATTCCCAGGCAACTTTAGAAAATTGTTGACAATCATCTTCTAAATTGCTACTCCCCCATTCCCTCTAAATCTCTTCTGAAAATCCTATAGGACTTTCTCATTCTAGGCTTCATACCTCTTATTTTCCTTTCATAATTTTCATCTTTACTTCTCTTTGCGACTTTCTAGTTAATTTCCTCAGATGTAAGCCAGGTGTGGTGGCTCATGCCTGTAATTCTAGCACTCTGGACTATGAGACAGGAGAATCTCTTTAGCTCAGGAGTTCAAGACTAGCCTGAAAAAGAAAAAAAAAGAAGAAAAAAAAAAGACTACCCTGAGCAAGAGTGAGACCCCCATCTCTACTAAAAATAAAAAAATTAACCAGGTGTTGTAGTGGGCACCTGTAGGCCCAGCTACTCAAGAGGCTAAAGCAGGAGGATCTTTTGCCCCTAGGAGTTTGAAATTGCTGTGAGCAATGTCGTCACAGCATATCTACCTAGGGCAAGAGAGGGAGACTCTGTCTCAAAAAAATAGTAATAATAAATTTCCTCAGATGTATCTTCCAATTCACTATTTCCCTATTTAGTTGTGTCTAACCTGTTAATTCAATTTGCCCAATTAATTTTTAATTTTATTTGCATTTTTCCAAGTCTGTCCATTTTTAGTGTTTTATTTCTTGCTCATACATTCTATTTCTTTTTTTATACCCTTAATAATTTTGAACATTATGATTTGATTAACAGTGTGTATCAATTATTTATCTGAATTCTTGATGGGGGGAAGATGTGAATCTAATTCTGTTATTTGTTATTCACTCTTCCTTGTACTGGATTATTACCTTAGCATGTTCTGTAATTTGGGTGTGTGAACTCATCTTTACCAGGATTTTATCTGTAGAAATTTTTTTGCAGTATAGTTGGAACACACATCCTTTCAGAACACCTTTGTATTTGTTTCTGCCAGATACTCTAGGGCTGCAGTCGCTGATTCCCCCGGCCGTGGACAGGTACTAGTAGATGAACAGCAGGCAAGCGAGCGGAGGTTCATCTGTATTTACAGCTGCTCCCCATCACTCCCTGATCACCACCTGAGCTCCACCTCTTGTCACATCCGTGGTAGCATTAGATTCTCATAGGAACACAAACCCTACTATAAACTGCACATGCAAGGGATCTAGGGTGCACATTCCTTATGAAAATCTAATGCTGGATGATCTAACATTGAGCTGAAGCAGTGATGCTAGCACTGGTGAGTAGCTACAAGTACAGTATCTTTAGCAGAGTGGTTTGACTGCACAAAAACTATAATAAATCAATTGCTTCCAGACTCATATCAAAACCATCCACCTAGCCCCAGTCTGTGAAAAAACTATCTTTCACGAAACCAGTCCCTGGAGTCAAAAAGGTTTGGGACCTCTACCCTAGGGATATCACTGGCTTGTACAGCTTTTAATAGCAGTGCCTTGCCTTGAGTGTCATCTGACTATATAGCAAACTCTAAATCTAGTCCTCACATTGTTTTAGATGAGGAAATTGAGGCCAATGGAAGTCAATGATCTGCCTACGATACGGGCATGGCCCTTACTCAAAGTACATCTCTTTTCTCCAAAGTTAAGGATTAGTTTAATAACTCTCTGATTCTATTTCAGCAAATGTAATTGATACATAATACACCTTGTTCCAATGCCTTTCACCAACAGAAACCCTTTTTTGTGAGACAGAGTCTCAAAAAATAATAAGATCTTACTGGTGTTATTGTGAAGATCAACTGTCATAACACTGGTAATACAGTTCCTAGGATAGAGGAGGCACTCACTTTACTAGCTATTTTCTCACTATGTCGCCCTCAGTAGATTGCTCTGGTGTCACAGCTCACAGCAACCTCAAACTCTTGAACTTAAGTGATTCTCTTGCCTCAGCCTCCCAAGTAGCTGGGACTATACGTGCCTGCCATAGCACCTAGCTATTTTTTTGTTATTGTTGTCATTATTGTTTAGCAGGCCTGGCAGAGTTCGAACCCACCAGCCCTGGTGCATGTGGCTGGTGCCCTGCCACTGAGCTGCAAGCGCCAAACCACCCTTTTCCTTCTCAGTTCACTCTCCTGTACCTAGCTACCTTCTCCAGGACATCTTACACTCCATTGAAGCAAGAGACCATCAACTACTCTCTACTTCCTGATGCTGCAACCCTTTAATACAGTTCCTCATGTTGTGGTGACCCCTAACCATAAAATTATTTTCATTGCTGCTTCATAACTGTAATTTTGCTGTTATGAATCATAATGTAAATATCTGATATGCAGTAGACCCCCAAAGGGGTTGCGATCCACAGATTGAGAACTGTTGCTCTACTATAAACTTTACATTGATTGTGTCTAGAAGTTGGCCCACAGAAAATCACATTTTATATGGCGGCACCTGTGGCTCAGTGGGTAGGGCGCTGGTCCCATATACTGAGAGTGGCAGGTTCAAACCCAGCCCAGGCCAAACTACAACAAAAAAATAGCTGGGCATTGTGGCAGGTGCCTGTAGTCCCGGCTACTCGGGAGGTTGAGGCAAGAGAATCGCCTAAACCCAGGAGTTGGAGGTTGCGGTGAGCTGTGACACCACAGCACTCTACCAAGGGTGATAAAGTGAGACTGTCCACCCCCCCCCAAAAAAAGAAAATTACATTTTGTAATAAAAATTATATAAAACTTCCTAAAAGTTAACAACCCACTTTTTCAGTGGTTAAAATTTTTTCATTGTCACTGATGCTTTCAATCTGTTTTGTTGCTTTCTCCTTCAGCTCCGGTAATTCTCCTGGTTCCTGGACTCTACAATTCTGGCTAATTCTAACTGCATATCGCTATCCTCTTGATATTTATGTCTTCTTGAAAGGAGACATGATATGGTAAAAAAGGCGTATTCATCTAATGGTGAAATGGGTCCAATTTCTAGCCTTAGTTTTCTCTTTTATAAAATGAGATCTTACTGGTATTATTGTGAGAGTCAACTGTCATAATATTAGTAATATAGTTCCCAGGATACAGGAGGCACTCAATTTACTAGCTATTTTATAACTAGTAAATATAAATTTCCCTCTATAAAATGATAAGACCACCTACCTCATCTACTCTGTACTTTTATTTTTTTAATTTTTTTGTGTGTGCGAAGATTAAGTCAGTTATGTAGGGAGAGACAGCGCTGACCTCCAATGCAGAACAAATCTCGAGGAAGTAGAGAGCACTAGAAACACCATGAGTTTTGGCATCGGACATTGGCATCCCAGCTCCATCAATTACTTATTTGCCATCATCTTGAAAAAAATTACTTAATCTCCCTGATTTTAGCTTCTTTTATCAGTAAATTAAGAGGACAATCCTTACTTCACAGGATTGCGGTGAGCACTTTGCATGTAAAATGTTTAACACTGTGCCTAGCACATGGCAGGCAGTCCATTCAGTGAATACCTCTCTCATCAACGATCCTAGCTTTTATTTTCATAATTGCCACACCTAGTTGTAACATAATCTAATCTACCTTCATAATTTAGAAAGTGCACACTCTCTTCAGTCTGAAATATTTATGTTACCAGTAGCTATGTTGGAACAATGCTATCTTGATAATAACACTTTAGCCTGGACTCTACAGTCCAGGAAAATCAATTGGTTACAGAATGCACTCCAATTTATTCCCACTGAACCAAGGAAGAGTTCAGAAATTATACAGCACATGCTATCTTAACCAGTGAGAAACAAATATAAATACAAGTTAATCTGCCGATAAGGCATCATCTTTAACAATAATTATTATACACATATTCCAAAATAAGCCAACCACAGAAATATAAATGTTCACAAATTTAGAACTATTTCCTTAACCACTCACAAAAATACACAGAAAACTGGCTCAGCGCCTGTAGCTCAATGGTTAGGGCGCTGGCCACATGCACCAGGGCTGGTGAGTTCGAACCTGGCCCAGGCCTGCTAAATGACAACGATGACAACAACAAAAAAAATAGCTGAGCGCTGTGGTGGGCACCTGTAGTCCCAGCTATTTCCAAGGCTGAGGCAAGAGATTCATTTAAACCCAAGAGTTTGAGGTTGCTGTGAGCTCTGATACCACAGCACTCTACCAAGGGCAACATACTGAGACTCTGTCTCAAAAAAACAAAACAAAACAAAACCAAAAAAACCCCAAAAAACCTAGCTAAGAATTAAGTTACATTACCATCTTCATCAAAGTAATGGCTTTTTACTTACCTAAATTCCAACAGCATTATCTTTCTAATAGCAAACCTGAAACATACAAATTAGAGAATATAAACATTTCAGAGTTATTCATACAAATGCATTTGGAATCTTTTGTTTTTATATTAACTCACATATCAAAATACATAATATCAGAAAACAACTGCCAAAAGCTAGCCCAGTTTCAACTTCTTAGGCACTAACCAACATGCTTTCGTCTGATACTAAAGAGTCACGTCCTCCTAAAAGCAAACATTATACAGGTATTTGTATCAGAAATGTGGAAGTCAGATGTTTCACATGATTCTTAGTGTTCATAGTCCAAAATTTTAGAACGTTGTGAAGGAAATATCTGATCTTTCTCTTCATAATACTGTCTTTTTTTAATACAAGTATTTTGTTTGATGTGAATAAACAAATGCTAGCCAGGAGTGGTGGCTCACGCCTGTAATCCTAGCACTAAGGAGGCTGAGGCAGGTGGATTGCTTTAGCTCAGAAGTTCAAGCCCTGAGCAAGACCAAGAGCCTACTAAAAATAAAAAAACCAGCCAGGCATTATGGTGGGTACCTGTAGTCTCAGCTACTCGGGAAGCTGATGCAAGCGGATTGCTTAAGCCCAAGAGTTTGAGGCTGCTGTGAGCTATGAAGCCACAGCACTCTACCCAGCAAGAACTAGTGTCCAAAAAAAAAAAAAAAAAGCCATAATCATGGGTATTTCTCCAAATGCAGGGTCAAAAGAACCACTGATTTAAGTTTTATCATTTGTAGCACTAGAAATAAAGCTGCCAGACTAGAACACTGATAGATAGTAATTTTGGGCTGTGAAAATTAGGTATGTATTATGAATTTGCAACACCCTGAGAGACTATTACCCCGTCAAAATCCTATTCCACTCATTTCTGATCTCTTAAATAGTTAAGAGATAGTTAAGAACAAGTCAAAGAACTTCAGTGAGAATGAAATAAAGGTTTTTACTATGCAAAAGCACAAAAATAGAAGAACACTGCCAAAGCATAGGCTTCTCTAGCCAGCCACACTACTGCATGGATATGAGATCTCTAGCTGCAGACATTTTGCTTGAATTGCATGTTAGACAACAGAATTAACCCAGCAGCCCTTATGCATAGGACTTAAGAATTAATTTCTTCAACTACAAATATAACCTCCTGATAAAACAAAGAAAAATCCTGGGTCATCATGAAGACCAATATTCTAGTCATGGTTCAGTGTTACCTTGGCAGTGTCTTTTTAACACTCTAGGACTCAGTTTCTTCATGTATAAAAGAGATAGAACAATCGACTTTTTTTTTTTTTTGAGACAGAGTCTCACTATGTTGCCCTTAGTAGAATGCCATGGCATCACAGCTCACAGCAACCTCATACTCTTGGGCTTAAGCGATTTTCTTGCCTCAGCCTCCCAAGTAGCTAGGACTACAGGTGCCCGCCAGAACGCCTGGCTATTTTTTTGTTGCAGTTCAGCTGGGGCTGGGTTTGAACCTGCCACCCTTAATACATGGGGCCAGCGCCCTACTCACTGAGCCACAGGCACTGCCCTCAACTTTTCATTTAGATGATTAAACAAGTAAAAAATTTAAGTCTTAATAGGTGAAGATAAAACAGAAGCACTGTTAAAAATCACTCAGCTCCTCTTCTAGTAATCTTACGAGTATTTATTAAACTTGGAATTTTATACTCTTGCCAGTGAACTGAGACAAATAAACAGCTTAACTAAAAGTGTACACATAAGAAATAAAAATGGGGCTTGGCGCCTATAGCTCAGTGGCTAGGGCGCAATCACATACACTGGAGTTGGTGGGTTTGAACACAGCTTGGGCCTGCCAAAACAAAGACAACTACAACAAAAAAATAGCTGGGCGTTGAGGTGGGCGCCTATAGTCCCAGCTACTTAGGAGATTGAGGCAAGATAACCAGTTAAGCCCAAGAGTTTGAGGTTGCTGTGAGCTGTGATGCAACAGCACTTTACTGAGGGCGACATAATGAGGTCCTGTCTCAAAAGAAAAGAGAGAACAATGGGTCTCAGAGTTAGACATCATTCAGAAGAACTAAAAAGTATGAAAAGTTACAAGTAATAATCACAAATATACCTTGAAGGATTTGTAGGTAGCTTTTTAAAATTATCTGTCCTTACTGACAACATGCATTGTGCCTGACACTGTGCCAAAAACTTAAATGCAATTCATTAAACCCTCCCTAAATTGGATGCTTTAAGTACAACAAACTGGGTCCGTTGACTGCATCATTAAATCTGATAAGGAAAAGAGGGGTGCCCCAGAAGTGCATTAATGTACACAGTTACCATTCAATTAAAAAAAAAAAAAAGGAAAAGAGGGGTGGCATGAAAAGGTTACTTCCTTCACTGCTATAACTTCCCCCTGCTTCCTCTCTTGAGGTATGACATGTGTGAAAACAAGAGGTCTGAAGCTGAATGTGGTGGCTCACACCTGTAATCCAAGCACTCTGGGAGGCCAAGGTTGGTGGATTGCTTGAGCTCAGGAGCTCAAGACTAGCCTGAGCAAGCCCTTAGAAAAAACAACAACAACAACAAAAACAAAGTATTGATTAAGAGCAGGGAACCAAGATACGTGGCTGGGCCTGTAACTACTGGGAAACATCTTGGGTAAATTACTTAACTTTTCTCTACCTTGGTTTCCTCATCCATAACTATCCACTACTTTTCATAGCGCCATAGAGTCACAGAGTTGTGGAATAAGGTACTGTATGCAAGGTGCACAGAACAGAATCTGGTATATAGTAAGCACTTACCAAATAATAATAATTATTTTTTGTTGTTGTTGAGACAGAGTCTCACATTGTCACCTTCAGCAAAGTGACATCATAGCTTACTGCAACCTCAAACTCTTGGGCTCAAGTGCTTCTCTTGCCTCAGCCTCCCCAGTAGCTGGGACTATAGGTGCCCACCACAACACCCAGCTACATTTTTTGTTTGTTTAGCAGGCCCAGGTCAGGTTCAAACTCACCAGCCCCAGAGTATGTGGCCAGTGCCCTAACTACTTAGCTACAGGCTCCCAGCCACCAATTATTTTTAAAATATTTTAAAACCAAACTTGAATGAAAATACATTAAGACAAGGCTGCCAAATCTGATAATGGCAAGAATAGTAAAAACAAATCACTTGTGTAATGTACCATATATTACCTGGGTGATTGGGCAATGTAACCTTAATTTTTTTTTTTTTTTGAGACAGAGTCTCACTTTGTTGCCCTCAGTAGAGTGCTGTGGAGTCACAACTCACAGCAACCTCCAACTCCTGGGCTTAGGCAATTCTCTTGCCTCAGCCTCCCAAGTAGCTGAGACTACAGGCGCCCAGCACAATGCCTGGCTATTTTTTTTGTTGCTGTTTGGCCCGGGCTGGGTTTGACCCTGCCACCCTGGGTATATGGGGCCAGTGGCCTACCCACTGAGTCACAGGCACCGCCCATATAACCTTAATTTTAAGATCCTACAAGTGATTATTTATACATAAGAATATTAAGTACTTATTTTTTTCCCAAATTCCTCCAGGAAAAATAGCATTGATACGTAAAAAATGTATATTATGAGTAGCTTAATGTATCATATTAAGAGTACCTTATAGCTATAACCTGCCGATTTGATAACCTACAAACAAGTTAGTAAATACTGTTCCAAACCACTCCTCTAGTACTGAAGATGCCATGAGCATACAGCTCAGCAAAATAATCTCCTCAGATGCCAGTCCAGGAAACTGGTCATTTAAAGTTTTAAATACTACAGTTTATGTGTCATAGAAGTGCAGTCAGTATTCAAAAATGTACACAATACGAAAAAATAGCTGTTAGAAGTGCCTTGATAAATCTTAGCAAGCCCTGCCAACAAGTTATTTCCATGAGCAATTAAAAATAACATAGCTGGGCGGCGCCTGTGGCTCAAAGGAGTAGGGCACCGGCCCCATGTATGGGAGGTGGTGGATTCAAACCTGACCCTG